CTTCAACACTGTTCTTGTTAGGCACATAGACACGTCCAGAAATGAACAAGATAGTCTAGCTACAGTTAAAACTCATCAGAAGTGCTCCGACAAGCTAACAGAACCCTAGAAGCTTTGCAGCGGGTGGGAACAGGATGATCAGGATCTGAGTGAGGCAGCAGGGCTGGAGTTGGAGTGGTGCAATAAGGCCAGCAGAGAGGCATATTTTTAAGGTGCAAGGCGCTGTATGGGGGTCCATTAAGACACAAAATAGAACAGAGCACTGGGCCTGGTTGATGAGATGATATAACTCCCTTTTATAGATGACACACAGTGGTAGCACTAGAAAAAGCCCCCAAATGGTATAGCTCTAAAGTCATATTGTCTGACTAAACCCCACTGGACTTCTGCTAGCGTGGTCTCCAGAGAAGTTACCTGCCTTCTCTGCATCTCTGTTTCCTCATCTGCAAATGGGGAAACCATGACTATCTCTCTCTAGTGTTGTGAGCATTACATGAGAGGACACATATTCATCACGTATCAAGAACAATGCCTACACAAGGGAGGTATGGGGATAGGTAAGACACCTAAAAAACTAGATAGCATTTGTTGCCCTCAACTCAGAGAAACTAAAGCAGATACTTTAAAGCAACTGAGGCCAATAGGAGAAGGGGACCAGGAACTAGAGAAAAGGTTAAATCAAAAAGAATTAACCTAGAAGGTAACACACGCTCACAGGAAATTAATGTGAGTCAACTCCCTGTATAGCTATCCTTATTTCAACCAGCAAAAACCCTTGTTCCTTCCTGTTATTGCTTATACTCTCTCTTCAACAAAATTAGAGATAAGGGCAAAATAGTTTCTGCTGGGTATCGAGGGGGTGAGGGCGAGAGGGAGGGGGCGGGGGGGCGGTTAAGGGAGGGGGTGGGGGAAGGGGGGAAAAATGACCCAAACATTGTATGCACATATGAGTAAAAAAAAAAAAAAATAATAATAATAAAAAGAACAGTGCCTAAGTCAGAGTTTAAGCTAAGCATCTACTCTAGTAACGATGGGCACCCATAGAGTTCTTTATATTCATCTCCTAACAATCTACATAACCTTGAGCGGTAGATTCTTGTTGGCACTGTTGTACCAAGGCAGCAGACTTAACTTAGAAAGGTAAAGTCACTTGTCCTGAGCCTACAGTTGAAATATGACATTCCAATGCCCAGGAATCAGTACTATTCTCTGCTGGAGGTTCATGCTTGGGAGGTTCCGTGGAACACTGTCTATACTGGGCACTCTTGACAATATCCAGAGAAAGGAAAATGCAGAGAGGCTCTCGGAGACCCTATCCTCATTCTTTCTCAGTTCATTGGTCAATCGCAAGAACAGTTCAAGGTCAAGATAAATGGTTTACTTCTTATACTTTGTTTTTCGTCTCTAGAACTCCCGAGTCTGATAATAAAATAACCTCAATGAGTCCAGAGCTGTATTTTATTTCTTCTAAGGACACTGGTAATAATACTTAAAACTTCTAACTAGGAAGCAAACAATCCTGAGGAGGGGACTCTGAAGGGCTCAGGATTATGGTGCAACGGTAAGAGCTCCAGATGAGGCGGAGTCCTCCGAGCTGTGGCATTTTACGCAAATGAACACCCCAACAAGGCCAGGGAGAGAGGGAAGATGGCATGAACAGATGAACGATGCACAGATGGACGGATGGAAACTTTTTTTAAAATGTGAATTAATACACTACCTCTGCTCTACAATGTACTGTGTCTGGCTCCCTAGCTTCCAGGAACCATGTAACAAACAGGCTGTATTAAATCTACACAGTGATTACCACGGCTCTCCTTTTTTCTCCCTTCTAGAGATTTAATCGTCTGCATTCTGATTGTTCCATGGTTGATCTCCTGTGTCAGGCCTTGAACACTAAGAACAGTAGAACTAACTTGGGTCAATGTGCACACTCTTTGAGGATGGGGCTGTGTCACTCAACTTCCTATCCTCAGCACTAAGCAAAGGGGATTGGAGCAAATATACACCACTATCACAGAAGGCCAGGCGCTCTGGCTGAGACCTGGGAGGGACATTTACAGGGAAAAAGCAGAGGCGGAGGCTGTCCCTGAGGACTGGCCCAGGTGTGCCCGTAAATCTTCTGAGGGGCTCACCCTCACCATTATCTCAGTACTTTAAAAGGCTGGTGCACATGACTGATTGCAAACATAATGGATGGTCCATGCGATCTCCCTCTGTGATCTCAGAAACCATCTGTCTTGGCTCAAGAGAAACTACTTATAGCAGAGAGGACTGATGTGGTGTCAAGAGCAGGTTCCAGAGACTTACTTCCTCTATGGACAGCCAAAGTATCTGTTGGTCACACAATAAAGTGGACAGGGAAAGCCTAATTGGGAAAGTTGGAGAACTCAGATGTATCCCCCCTGCACCAGAGCTCAAGGAAGGCTGTGTCACATAATCACATGTGCAGATGGACTTTTGATACAAGGGTTCAACATTTCCCACAATTTCCTTCCATGGACTCTCGTCTTTACGAACTTCCTGCTGCTGGATGCAATCCCAATAACTGATTGGATAATGTGACCCACAGTGTCAATTATGTTACATGTTCCATATCAAAATTTGAAGGGGAATTAAAAAAAAGGCAAAAAGAAAGATTTTCATTGTGGGAACATGGTTTTATTTGTTAAAGCACTACTCTCACTTGCTTTTCAGCCTCACTAAAATGACAGGCTTACAGATTTTCTCATGCTCTAACTTACAGCTTCTGATGAGGTTAGGAAATAAAAGCTGTGTTGTGTTCCATCTCTCATTTTTTAAGTGGTGTTCTCCTTCCAAGGACAATGGGACTTATGGTCTCAAATGGCAGAACTATATATTATGAACCTTCAGACACTCTTAGAGAATTTCCTTTTGGCTATCTCACGTCAGCAAGAGAAGACAAGCACTGTCCTTAGCAAAAGGCTTCAGGCTGCAGGAGGTGATGAAGCTCAGAGAAAGCCTGCAGGCTGGTGGCCCACAGTGCAAAGGAATGCAATATTAAAGACCTGAGAGCAGCTCAGGCACACCTTACTCAGGGATTTCTGAGCAACTTACACAGAGCAAAACCATATTAACACCATGAGATGACAACAAAACCCACAAGTTATTAGCTAGGCCAGACAAGCTGATTTGACTCTTCTGATTCCTATGGGAAATCTAGTTCTGCCTTCTAAAGAGACTTGTATTTACATAAAAATTAATTGGAAGGTTGACTTTTTATGAAAGATTTTAGTACAGAATTTTTCTAAAATGTCATTTCCCTGGTTCATTTCAAATATAGATTTATTTACACAAATTCAATTTATTTAGCATTCAAGATGCCTTTTTGGGAAAATGAGAAAATAGGCCCAGGTAGGGATAGAGAGGATACCCATGTTCAGAGTCCACCCATATTTTGGAATACCCACCCTAATAGCCTCGGTAGGGCAAGGATGACTGTTATAAACCATTTTCTGCTGTTAATAAAAATCTCTAATCCTCACTACAACCCATGAGTCAGGATTACTAAAAACATTATAAATATTTTACAATTTAAAAATACAGCCTAGATCACAGTACTTGAGGGAAAACCTATGAAGGAGAGCTGACCTCCTTGTCAGTGGTAAAAGATGGGCAGGTAGTATTCCGAAGCAGATAAGAAGAAATGCGAAGTCTGGGCCATTAGGGATGCAAAGACCTGTACAAAGGGCTGCAGCTACAACCGGCAGTGGGGCCTGCTCAATTCCAGGCGTCTCTAGTTCCACCCAATGGAACATCAGTATATACCGAAGCCACATGCAGCACCACCTGCTTGCACGGCAGAAGGAGAATTTAGGACATAAATTATCCTGATTTCCAATACTTTAATCAAGCTGAAGGCGAAAGTTCTTTAGGCAATAAACACCAGCTCCAAGCACATTGAGGTTTAAGCAGGGGTGTCACCTGGAGGGTCACTGCACACCAACATGCTATAGAGCAGGCCTGGTGGAAGGAGGGAGGACCATGGCCAACAAACAGTAAGAGGCAGTAAGACCAAGTTTCTGCAGCATCTGCAGTTCCTGAGTTTCCTGATACTTTTGGGGATAAGCATATACTATAGAAAAACAGAATAGGATCTCTCTTTCTAACCCCTACCACAGAAACACCACACTTCTGCCAGAAATGAAGAAAAAAGCTAATGGATCATATTGTATTTGTTTCACCTGCAAATATGACATGTATAAATTCATTCCTTACCAAATAAAGTGGGCAAAGGAAATAACCAAGATGTTCATTTAAACATATATACACTCATACAAGTGATTAGCTCTAGGAGTAGGCCCTGTATTTTGAGGGGGTGGGTATGAAATAAAGAGCAGGGCTAGAACAAAAGAGGGAGAGAGATTAATTTTTCTCTTCATATCCTTGTGTGCCAAATTAACTTTGTATGATTGTATGGATCACCTATTTGAATGCATATATACTGATTACTCACATTTTCAGTAAATTAAATAAAAACAGGAAAAGTTTTAAATTTTAATGGTGCTACTGAATAGTGACAAATAAAAGGTTTTGAATAACCCAAAGTCAATTATCCCAGGGAAAAAACTAACTTCTGCTCACATAAAACCAAGCCTAAATGATTGGGCTGGAATAACTGATGCTTACTTTTTATCTATTACTCCATTAAATGATTAAATAAGTACCTACTTACCGAATATTCACTCCACACCAAGCACCACTCCAAGTGTTGTGATAACACTGCTGGATTATGCTATGATGCTGATGCTCTAGTAAGCCTTTATTAAAAATACCCGACATCCTAGATGGAGAAAATCCTGGTACCATTAAAAACTGAAGAAAAACTTGAAATCTGGTGAGAATATGGATGCACATTTACTTATAATTATGGTTTTCTCCATAAAGTGAAAATGCCAAGTGTTCTACAGAAGGGTCCTAGGGCCATAATGAGGCTCAACAACAAACTTTGTACATCTATTTTACCTCTAGAAACTTACCAAGGGTGTGTCTTTTCCTCCCACGATGCTGAGACCAAGCCCTGAGCGTCCCTTGGATATTTCTATAATCATTTCCTGGCCAGGGACGATGGGACGTGTTGCAGGATCCACAGACAGAGGAGCCTGGAAGCCACCTGGAAAGCGAATGCACACAGAATGACTGGCAAGCAGGAGGCCCAGCTCAACTCATGCTCCATCACTTGGGACGTGGGGTTTGCGTGTCTCATCATTTCACTCTCTTCCTGCCAAGCACCGGGAAGAAAAGGCTGGCTCGTTATTTCTCATTCACCCAGGGATGAAGCAGGATAGCCCTACGGTATTTGTGAGATTAAAGCAACAACTCTTCCCACCACTTAACTCACCAATTTTATGGATACATAAAAATTTTTTTCTTCTTAAAACACATCATGAAAAACAACATGGAAAAATTTAAGCTCACTAAATATTTGGGTACCAAAAAGCATATGTTACAATAAGAATAAAGGCTGGTATGACAGAAAAGTCAGAGTTATAAAAATACTAATTAAGAAGTAGTACTTAAATACTTTCAATTGTAGCATATCATATGAACTCAGACTTATAAAGGATATAGTCAATAAAGTATGATGTGACTAAAAATAACAATTGCCTACTTTTTTTTTTTTTGTGGCAGAACTAGGGTTTGAACTCAGGGCCTCATGCTTGCTTGACAAGTGCCCTACCACTTGAGCCACTCTGCCAGCCCACAATTACATAAAATTTATCTCCAAAGGGTTGAGTATCCTTAACCCAAAAGTCTGAAAATTTCTGAGCACTGACATGACCTCAGACCTGGGGAAAATGCCACACTTGACCTCATGTGATGGGGTCAAAATGGAGGCACAGTAAAAATACTTAGGTCCCATCCCAAAGATACCTCACTTGCATACTCAAATACTTCAAAACTTGAAAAAATCCAAAATCAAAAATACTTTTAGTCCCAAGCATTTTGGGTAAAGGATACTGAATTCTGTATGTGTGTGTATATAGAGAATATTTTTTGAAACATTTCAAAACACAATACTTAAGAATTACTTGAGGGTTCCATAAGTGAAAGTCTTGTTAAAAGAGTTATTGCTGTTTTAGAAAGTTTTTTTAAAAAATAGTTTTAGGTTCCTTCCTATTATTGCTTATACTCTCTCTACAACAAAATTAGAGATAAGGGCAAAATAGTTTCTGCTGGGTATTGAGGGGGGGAGCGGGAGGTAAGGGAGGGGGTGGGGGCAGGGGGGAGAAATGAACCAAGCCTTGTATGCACATATGAATAATAAAAGAAAAATGAAAAAAAAAAAATTCAAAAAAAAAAATAGTTTTAGAATGAAGTTTTCTAAAAACCAAGTGAGAAAAATGTTAGTATCCATTTACTTATTTCTACATATGTACATTTTCCAGATGAGACCTAACCCATAAAAAAATCAAAACGTTCAAAATGTTAGTTTCAAGAGACTCCCATACAGTTAGTATTCTCTAAAGAATCTCACCTTTCTGCTAACTCAGATTGATCATGAGAATTGATTCTTACTTTGTGAAAGAATTCAGCAAAGGGCTGATGACACAGAGCCCCATCTGCTGGTCAGTTGTAGCTAATGCACAGAAGACAGGGGATCCACAATGTTCTTTAGACCTATGAAACTGTAGAGGTCTGAAAACTACAGCCCATGGGCCAAGAATGGTTTTACATTTTCAAAAGGCTTAAAAAAACAAAAGTAAAAGAGCTGGGCATGGTGGCTCATGCCTAAAATCCCAGCTAATCTGGAGGTGGGGGGATCGAGGTTTGTAACCAGCCTGGACAAAAAGTTAGCAAGGCCCCCACCCATCTCATCACGAAAAGCCGGACATGGTGGTGCTTGTCTGTCATCCTAGCTGATCAAGGTCCAGGCTGGGAGGGCAAATTCATGAGACCTTATCTCAAAAATAACCAAAGCAAAAAGGGCTAGGGATGTGACTCAAATGGTACAGCACGAGGCCAAGCAAGCACGAGGCCCTGAAATCAAACCACAGTACTGCCAAACAAAACAAAACAATCTCCCCTGCCAACCAAAAAAAAAAAAACCCCAAAAATAAAACCAAAAGAAAAATGTGAAATACAAACTTCAGTGTCCATAAATAAAGCTGTATTGGAACACAGCCCCACTATCTGACTCATGTATGGCTTTGTCTATGGCTGCTATCACACCACAAGGCAGAGCTGAGTGGCTACAACAGAGATTGTGTGGCCTGTGAGCCTAAAATATTGACTAACTGGCTCTTTATAGAAAAGTATGGGCCAGATGTGGTGCTATATACCTATAATTCCAGCACTCAGGAGGGTGGGGCAGGAAGATTGTGAGTTCAAGGCCAGCCTGGGCTATATAGCAAAACCCTGTCTCAAAAACAAAATAAAACAACCCCACAAAAACGGGAGGGAGAGAAGGGAGGGAGGGAGGGAAGGAAAGTGTGCCAGTCTCTAATATAAAAGGAAACAGGCTCTAGGTCAGCCTGAGGGGTTCTCTCTAAGCTATAACCACAACTGTGTGACAAAGAGGGGAACTAGGTTTCGAGGGCACAGAAGTGGATTTGGGTCCTTAAGCCCAAAACTCAAATGTGGGTAAAACTGGGTGCTCACTGCTCATCAGAAAAATGTGGGCACCCGCTACTGAGCAGGCTGTTAGAGGAATGACAGGAGCAGCGTGAGCGCCCGGCCAGAGTCTGCCCTACTTCACGCATTCATGCTTGCTGTTCCTGTCCAGGTGGAATATATTAATCGAATAGCTTTCTGGCTAAGGACAAGAAACTTAGTGATATAATCTCAGTAATAAGAAAAAAGTGGCATATGAGAAGTAGAAGATTAAATTGTACACCTGATTTGATTCTAGGTTTTTTGCAGTATACATATCTCACAGTGTTTCCCACTACTTTACCACAAAAGTGATACACCATAGTGGCACAATTTCATTGGTGCTTTTAAGAGTTGATATACTGCTTTTGCTAATGGTTGATTTACTCTCCTGAGTAAGAAGAGTGAGAGATGCTAGAACTCTTTCCCTCTTTTCCTTCATTTCCTCCCTCTTTACTGTTCCTCACCCAAGCCTGTTCCGAGTTATTCTCTGACTCCTACCAAATGCTCAGTGAATGTCTGTTAAGTGAGTAAATGAATAAAATTTCCATAGATTAAAATGTGGGGTCATGAGTTTCTGTTATTTAGTGTAAATATGTGATATATATTACTAAAATCCAACTGGTCCACATGCATGGCCAGCAAACAGTCTAAAGGCTACTAGTTGCTTGGGAAGCAGAGATCCAGAGGACTGTGGTTCCAGGCCACTCTGAGCATAAAGGGAGACACTATTTCAAAAAACAAACAAACAAAACAACAAAAACTAACACACAAAGGGCTGGTTGAATGGCTCAAATGCCTGCCAAGCAAATGCAACATCTTGAGTTCAACCCCTACTATCGTTAGGATAAAAGAAAAAAGTGAAAACAATTTTTAGCTCATTGACCAAACAGAAATGGGCAGTGGGCAAATTTGACTCATGGGCCATAGTTTGCTGATCAAAGTATTTTAGTAGAAGTCTAGTGCTAAAATAGTACCTACTTACTAAACTTAGCATGTGTTGTAAAGAATTCTTTTTTTTTTTTTAACTGCATATAAACAAAGTGGAAATGCCTTTTATTAGGGTTTTTGGTGTTTTTTTTTAGTGGGACTGGGATTTGAGCTCAGGGCTTTGTGCTTGAAAAGCAGGTGCTCTTGGGTGGTAAGGGAGGGGGTGGGGGCAAGGGGGAGAAATGACCTAAGCTTTGTATGCACATATGAATAATAAAACAATTAAAAAAAAAAGAGTTCATATATTTAAAAAAAAAAAAAAAAGAAGAAGAAAAGAAAAGCAGGTGCTCTACTGCTTGAGCCATATCTCCATTCCATTTTGCTCTGGTTATTTTGGAGGTGGGGTCTCACAAACTATTTGCTTGGGCCGGCCTTGAAAGCCTATCCTCCTAGTCTCAGTGTCCTAAGTAGTTAGGATTACAGGTGAGTCACTGGCACCAACTCCTTTACTTGTTTTGAAGTTCTACTTTCAACCCCCAGCTAGCATAATTCAAGGCAGGAATTTAAAAACAGAACATGGGAACATCAATTTTTTTTAAGCACTGAAAATAAGTCTTCAAATAGCTTACATCAACATATGCAGGGCTAAAAATCAATATGATTTTTAAGATATTACTCCTGACCTAAACACAATCTTTTGGAGAGCCTGGAGAATAGACTATAAGCCTAGGTTTCAGATGGTACTTGTTGATGGCCTTTCTGTCCTAGTAGTGTTTTTTTTGGTCCTGGGGATTTGAACTCAGGGCCCCACGCTTGCTAGGCAGGCGCTCTACCACTTGAGTCACATTGCCAGCTGTTTTTTTCCGAGATATTTTCTCAGGAACTGTTTGCCTGGGCTGGCTTTGTACCACGATCTTTCTGATCTCTGCCTCCTGAGTAGCTACAATTACAGGCATGAGCCACTGGCACCCAACTTCTGTTGTATTTTTCTTACATCCAATAAACAATGTGTATGATAGAGATAAGGAAAGTGGTGTAGGAAATGAAGTGACTTGTCCAAGTCCCAAAGCTAAGGAAGTAGAGGAGGAATGCAGAGCCAGCCATCCTGGTCCCATTTTCCTTTTAGGACATCATGATCCCTTCCTTCTCTAAGGTTTCATGAGTGAATTCTGCTCAGGACAAGAATCATACCATATCCTGTGAAGTCTCCATCTGTTGAATCAGATGATGAAGCTGGTGCTAGCAGGACCTCTTGCGAACTGAAGGAGGCTTTTGCTGAAGATTTTTGCTGTTTCATCTGGCTGGCAGCCTACGAAAGGAAGCCATACTTTGTGAATGTCAAAGAGGAGTGAGGTTACAAGAGATCTTAAAATTGATGCATTGATATCAAAATAATGATGCATTCCAGTGATATCTTTTGAGACTAGAGGGTGGCAAGAGAAGTTAGGGTGACTTTTGTCCCATTCCCTATGCCTCCTTATTTAACTTTACACCTAAAATACTTTGGTGAAGGACACAAACTGCAAATGGTCTGTCACTGTGATCTGTGTGTGAAACTGGGGACAGGAAACACACCAACTTTTTTTTGCAATTTCTACTCATTCTGACTGAAATCAACACAAAGTCCACAAAACCTGCTGTAATCACTGAAAAACAATCTATGCCACAGAGGACGATGAAACATCGTTCCTTTTTTATATACGTTCACAACAATCAAAGACTCTTTAGGTAGGTTAATTGAACAACACCAGAGGCAGGAAGGAAAAGAGACTTCTAGTCTACAAAATGTCAGCAACATCAGGTACATTTAGTTCATCTAAAGGAACTGTACCTTATTCACCCTTAATACATCCAGTGGCTGAAAAATAGCAGAGATTCAATAAATGTCTGATGAATAAACAGGTACAGAAAACAAAAGTGAAGACATGGGAACTCTGGGTAGAAAATGAACTTGGAATTCCATGAAGGCACAGGGACTCTGGCTATGCGAGCTTCAGAAAATTAACTTATAATTCTGAATTTCTGCTGACAATTCCTCCTTTGTATATTAATATTAAAAAACTAAGAAAAACCAAAAAGGACTCCATGCTTGCTTCACAGGCAATGAAAAGATATAGGTAGTAACCTGGCCTGTCTTCTGGGTCACATCCCCAGCTGGAAGATTCTGGTGGGGGCAGTGAAGCACCAGGCTGTCTCTGGAATCTAGAAATAGTGGAAGGCCATGCCTCAACATGGGACAGTGCTGTGTCCAACAACTGAGATGATTCCACTCACTTCAGACTTGTATTGTGCTTTCTAGGTTTCAAAACACTTATACATGGATTTATGCCATCATAAGAACAACCTTGAGTCAGTTTTGTTATCATTTGCAGATTCAGTAAGACACAAATGTCAAGTGACAGCTCTGAAATTGCACAGCTAATCAGAGGAAGAGTAGGACTGCAAGTGAGTAGAAAAATGTTACATGTTTAAAGTGGTTAACTCTGCTAAGCAATGATTCCACAGTAATTCATTTTTTCTTGTAGTTTTTCTATTATTATTTACAACTGACTGTATCTTTATTTAAAAAGACTTACTCAATTAGTGATTTTAAAAAGAGGAGTGTGGGAAAAAGGACAAATAAGGGGTTACTATCAGAAAACTGGACACTGGAATGACCAAACCAGCCAGTTACTCTGAGGACCACATTTCCCAGCCTCCCTGAAGCCAGTGTGCTCACAGACGAAGGCCTGGTCAACAGGATGTCAGCAGAAGTAAACGCACGATTTTCAGGTCATTCTCTAAAGGAGAAAGACCCTGAGCAGTTGTCTTAGATGAAAAAGATGATTTAGGATGATAATCAGGTCAGCATGTAAAGAGGTGAGAGATCTGTGGGTCTGTGACAACATGGAGATACATACTGTACCACCCCCAAACTGATGATCCACAGACTATTTTGTGAAACAGAAACTTCATGCAGCAATCTCTATCTTAATTCAGATGGTACTTACACCTAACTTTCATTTAGTATCATTTCAACAATGAACACGGATTCCCCACAAAGCTGAATGTAAACTACAGAGCTTTCCTAAAAACATCATATGAATTTTGTGATGGAGTGGTCACTTTATTTTTTTATTTTTATTTTTTGCAGTTTTGGGCCTACATTTGAGCCACTCCACCAGCCCTTTTTTGTGATGGGATTTTTCAAAATAGGGTCTCATGAACTATTCGTCTGGGCTGGCTTCGAGCTGTGATTCTCCTGATCTCTGCCTCCTGAGTAGCTAGGATTATAGGCTTATGCCACAGGTGCCTGCCTGGTTGAGTAGTCACTTTATGACATTTATAATAGCAGGGAATGGTGGCTACTCAGCTATATGTCCCAGTTCCATGTAGCATCTGGTGCTTAATAGGTGACCAATAAACATCAATGGAATTGAATTCAACTTAAAAATAGGGAACCAGGCACCAGTGGCTCAAACCTGTAATCCTAGCTACTTGGGAGGCTGAGAACAGGAGGATCATGGTCCCAGGCCAGCCTGCGCAGATAGTTCAAGAGACACCCCACCTCCAAAAACAACAACAAAAACCCCAGAGCACCAAATAACAACAAAAACAGAATAATATTAACTGAAGGTGTGTCTTGAGTTCAAACCCCAGTCCTGAGTTCAAACGCCAGTTTCACACCCTCCAAAATAAATAATAATAAAAATAAGGCCAGGTACCAGTGGCTCATGCCTATAATTCTAACTACTTAGTATTACAGTTTGAGGACAGCCCGGGTAAATAGTTTATAAGATCCTGTCTTATAAAAACCCATCAGGAAAAAGGGCTGGTGGAGTGGCTCAAGGTGTAGGCTCTGAGTTCAAATCCCAGTACCACAAAAAAAAAAAGGGAAAGAGTCCACAGAAACCAAGGGCACTCGAACCTGCATATGCATATGCACACACACACACAGAGGCAAACCTTCTGCTGTTAGGTGTGGTGATGGGTGAATGTGCGCTTCGTGACTCATCCACTCACAAAACCAAACTATTAAGTTTATGAAAGATCAGACAACTGATTTTCTGTTTGCTCCTATGTTAGATCATAAGAGTTAAGGCTGACCCTGTAGATCATCCAACCCAACTAAACCCTGGCTCTCAACCCTGTTTTCTGATAGCAATACCTTTGGTTTAAAAAATTATGCATGCTGAGATCTCGCCCCCAATCCCAGACCAAACAAACAGGTATTTAGGGGTGTGAAGCTCAGGCAAGGCATTTTTGTTGTTGTTATTTTAATTGAGACTTAGTGCATAGATTCTTAACCCAAGGCTTCTAAGAGATCCACAGAAGGAATTCTGGGAGCTGTAAAACCTCTGTGGTTGTGTGAAAACCTCTATGGTTAAACAAAATTAAACTTAATAGTGTTTTTCTGGGGAAAGTGTCAGGTCTTCACTTAAAGGAAGACATGAATTGCTAAGTTTGCTACCATTAATTAGTTAGGTGACCACAGAAAAGTCACTCAACCTCCTCATCTGTAAGTTGGTAGTGATACATCATTTTGTATCATCTCAAGAATGAGCATGGATCCCTAACAAAGGTCAATGTCAGCTACAGAGTCTTTCCTTAAAAAAATCATGTGAATTTTGTAATGAGGAAGCAGAGACTAAGCGGTCACTTTATGACGTTTATAATAGCAGGGAATGGCTGCTACCCAGCTCCGTGTAGTTTCTGTTCCACGTAGTATCTGTGCTTAACCTTGACCAATAAATATCATAAGAGACTGAGGGCACTGTGAAGATTAAAGACAAATAAACCTATCACCAGGCCAGGAACAACCTAAGAACTCAAGTAATAATAGCTATTCATGCTCTTTTTGTCTTTGTATGACATTAATAAATGATTGGCTAGCTTTTGCTGGAAAACCTTCAGGGATGGAAAATTCCATTTCTCTGGGGAAGCTCATCCATGTGGAGTAGCCTGAGGGGTTGGAAGTTCTGTCTACAAAGCTGCCCACTGGTGCCTGGGCCACTCTCTTGGGTAGCTGTAGGAAAGGTTTATACTCACTCTCCCAGAGGAGAATGCTATAGACAGTTAAGTCACATTCTTCAGCAGGGAAAAGAGGCTCGATGATGTTTAGGATTCAACCCAGCTCTAAAACTCTGTGGTTACAAAAGTTTAGAGATGTTTGATCTGTGCCTGGAGATAGGTGTCAGTATACAAAGCATTAACATATTAGTGGTATTTGCAAACACATTACACAATGCTAATTCTGGTTTTAAATTAAAAAAAATGCTTACAGTTGAACATACTTTGGCTACTTTTAAGGTGCCTTCTATATTTTATTTTTGGGAGGGGCCTGGAGCGAGGGATGAAACCCTAGGGTCTTAGACATGCTAGACGAGTGCTCTACTACTGAGCTACATCCCTAGCCCTCCATCTGTTTTTATTGAGGATTTCAGCGTACAATTTTGGAGAATTTTCAAGGGTATCTTCTTTAGAAATGTTTGAAATATGATGTACTCTTTATAAGCTCTAGTTCTAAAATAGTTAATAGGAATAATGAAAATTTAGGTAGCACAAAAGTAGTAACAGACATGAAAATCGGGACTCAAAAAAAGAAAAGCAAGGAAACAGCTCAACAGCAACAAAAGTACAAACATTCGACAGAAAAAGGTTTATAACCTTTTTAAAATTTCCCCTTGGTGCAGGGGATCGCACTCAGAGCCTGGCACATGCTAGGCAAGCACTCTACCCCTGAGCTATATCCCCCAGATCTTGTAGTTTTTTTCTTTTTCTTTTAAGAGAATTGAAATTCAAAATGGAAGGAACGTTGATGTGTGTGTGTGGTATTGGGGTTTGAACTCAGAATCTTGTGCTTGCTAAGCAGTGCCCTACCACTTAAATCCCACCTCTAGCCCTGGTCTGAAACTTTTTCTTTCTTTCTTTCTTTTTTGGTGGTACTGGGAGTTTGAACTCAGGGACTCAGGCTTGCTAGGCAAGCACTCTCCCATTTGAGCCACTCCACCAGCACTTGTGTGGACTCTTGATCTTCCTGCCTCAGTCTACTGCATGCTGGCACCACAGGCATGTGCCATCACACACAACTGTATTTATATTTTTATAGAACTATAAATCCTCCCATTTGAAATTTTTACTTATGGCATTGTGTAAGATGGGATGCTCTCAGAATTTATGTGGGAGGGTGTTTTAGGGATGTTCTTTTAAATACTTGTGCAGGGTATAAGTACAGAGAGACAAACAGAGGGTATTTCTACACACTTTGTGTGTCACTGGGACAGGAGTGTGGATTGACTTCAGGGGCTAGACCTCCTTATCCTCGTGTAATGTAATAAAGGATTTGACCTCACTGCAATCACCCCTTTTTCTTCTAGAGTACATTCACATTGCACACCATCCCAGTAGAGCAAAACCTAAGCTCAAGTTACATACACTGTCAGTTGGATACTCTGAGGGTTTCTGCAGACCAACCACCTGGGACAGGTCTTCCTGAAACATAAAAGATACAAGTAGTTAGAGGCAAGCAGGGCTCAGTTGCACTTTTCAACCTTGGCAGTGAAGCACCCTTTAAGTGGGCTTTGGTCTACTACAAAAATGACCACGAGTACCAGGCATGAAAGTTCCATTCACCCATGTGGACTGACCCTCCAAAGGAGAGCAGACCTGTCAATTCCAAACTTTCTTTAGCCCTTCCGGTTCTGCTGGGTGTCAGTGCTATCAGATACCCTTTAGTGCTCATTTCAGATTTTTCTTCTTCCCTTACATGCGTATCCCTATCTCTGTATTTATTTTGAAAATTAAATATACTTTCAGGGATTCAATTCCTGATATCAGAATTTTTTTTAACCTTTTTTAACAAAAAGCACAACTGCTTGAGGTAGTATAAGAGAAACGCTAAGTCAGTCCTGAGCCTCACGGAGGAGTAAGTTTCAGACTTAAAAGAGAAGAAAACTACCAAGACATGTGGGATACCCATGCATTTATTAACTAAAATAAACAGAGGCATGGATAATTGACCAGGATGTTTCTATCTGCCTCCCACCATGTCCCATCTTCTTATTACAGTCAAATTTCCAGAGAAGGCAGTATCTAAGCTGAGTCTAAGGTGTGACCTCCTGGTTCTGGGCTTGGATGAGGCAGGGGATATGACAAGACACTGATTTAGATAGGAGAAAGGATGGGCCAGGCATTGGTGGCTCACACCTGTAATCCTAGCTACTCAGGAGGCAGAGATCAGAAGGAATGCTGTTTGAAGCCAGTCTGGGCAAATAGTTTGTGAGACCTATCTTAAAAAAAAAAAAAAAAAAATCACGAAAAGGGGCTGGTGGAGTGGCTCAAAGTATAGGCCCTGAGTTCAAGCCCCAGTACTAAAAAAAAAAAGAAAGAAAGAAAGGATGGGTTTACTCTGCTCTTGGGGATAGGTGTGAGAGACCTTGGGGGGCAGAGGTAGGGACCCCAAGCAGCAGGCAGGTAAACTGATCTGGGAATGAGAAGAAGGAGGACTTGTATTACAGTGTTAGGAGTCTGTGATCCTAGCTCCTTGACTTAAAAGGTCTGCAAACCTGAGCAGGTTATCAGGCCCCAATTTCCTTCTGAATAAAATGAAAACAACCTGAGAGATCTAATCCCAGCATGGAAGCTTGAGATTGGAGCCTTGGTGCTCTGAATGACTGTGGTACCCTTAGTGCCTATTTCCTGATTTACTTTTCACAACTAGATTTCCTTCATTCATTTAGATTCTCTTTGATGTCATCTTTGTGGGAGAAAGATCCTAGAACTCATCTTCCATCCCCCTTAAACCATGCTCCTAAACAGATGATGTATATAAAAAAAAAGAACTCATAAATCATCTCATCTCCTAATTCTTCCCTGAGCCCATGGGTGGTACCTCTTCCACAGCATGATCAATTCTTTGTTCCCCCTTATTTGAGACAGGTTCTTGCTCTGTAGTCCAGGCTGGTCTTGAACTTGTGCTTCTCCTGCCTCAGCCTCCTGAGTGCTGGGATTCCAGGCATGCACCACCACGTCCAGCATGAACAACTCATGTTACCACTATTTTTACAGTAGCGAACTATCTATTTATGTATTCATCTCCCACATAGTAATTGGATCAAGTTTGCCATATTTCTTCAATAACATGGCAGAGTAGAATATGGTCTTAAAGAGTTAGCACTAAACTAGTAAAGTTTGGGAACTTAAGTTTTAAATGCACCCATCTGGATTTTGAAGCCAGCCGTGAAAGGAAGGATGCACAGTGAATGTGACTCTGTGGCCTCTACTTGAAAGGATCATAGTTGAGAAGAGAGAAAAATGACACGGAAAGTTTAACAAGGTTGATGAGGATGTTTTAGGGTAAAAATTCAAAAGAAGAGCCATTAGTATTGCTCCTTCCAAACCAATGGCCTTAGGAGGAACAAACATAACTGCTTCTATTTAAAAATGATACTGCAAGTGTGCAATTCTACCTTGGTTTATTCTCAATTAGCCAGTAATGGGACAAAGGAGCTGACTACCCTCGCTACAGATTTAAAGCTGTATATTGCTCAGAGGAACTACTAATCTGGTATAATTCTCCCTCACCATTTGCACTTTTAAAATAAACAAAGAAGGGCCAGAAAATCTGGTTCACAGTGGTTTCACTGCTTATTATCTGTAGTAGTGCTTGGAAATCTTTTTTTTTTTTCAACAGTAACAAAGTAACAAAATCTATCTGATTAAGAGGTTTTGAGCAGACTTGAAGTCAACAGGTGTTTATGGAGCATCTAATATGTGCCAGCAGTGAAACACTTAACAGAGGTGCCCTTACACTTACCACCTCCACCTATCTGGTGACACTGGTATGAGAGAAATAATTATGAGGAACTCAGACTTCTGAAAAGGCTGGTCCAATGTGCCATCTCACTTCTTAAACCTGATTACCCTTAAGCTTCTGGGTCAAGGGACAGGGGCTGGTATGTAGCAGCCATGATGGTAACAACAGATAAAACTCACCAAGTGCACACTGTGTGCTGGTTACTGAGCTAGGCACAGGCCTTTGCATTAGGGTACTGCTGTCATCTTTTTATAGTTCAGGTAACTGAGGCACCAAAGTAAAATATGGATTGGTGTCACATAAAATATGAATTAGAATGGTGTCTATCAGAGCACATAGTAAATGCTATAAGCAGTAGTCACCATTATTTTCAGCAGTTCTGTGATATCATGGTTTCCCCCATGGTTAGCACTATGCCTGGATATAACAGGCCTCAGTACGAACTGTCTTAATTTTTGAAAGCGATGTGGATTTACTGCTGCCTTTGAAAGAAAGCACAATTGACATAGGTGTTAGACGACAGGGTCTTTATATTACACGAACAAACAAATGCTTCCTTCTCCTGAAGGCTCAGCCCTCCATATTCAGGGGACAGCACTGAGAAGAATGGTTTCCGAGAAGCCTGGGGTTCAGGCAGGAACTCAACTCCAAAAAGAAAGTCTGAGTTCTGTGCTGAGCACTTTGAGACTGGAGTGCTAGTAAGTATGACTGTCACAATATTTTCTTCATTGAGAAAAAAATCTGATAGCAAGTGATTCCTTCCAGACAAGCTAAATTTCAAGTTAGATAACAAGTCTCAGTGGACAAGTTACAGCAGCTTGGCATGAAGGTGAGCTTCAGAAAGAGGCAGGCTGAAGTAGGGAAAGTTTGGTACTTACTCATAGAAAAAGATTACATCTCAGATTACCATGCTTTGGCTCAGGGACCGCCCTCACCTGGCAGGGAACCGCCCGTGCCCCTCCCCACTCATTGATTATTGCATGAGAATCACCTGGCTCTCCCCTTCCCCTAGGTTATCTTCGGTTTTAAAAGTACCTAAAGAGCAGAGACAAGCTCCCTCGGCTTCCGACTTCTACCTGGGCCCACTATGCTTCCCTTTGTATTTCTTTTCCCTAACTTTTAATTAACTCCCTGTACACCCACGTGTCCTGCCATGGATTCTTCCGGGTGGCATACAAAGAATTTGGAAGTCTTCTGATCACAGACTGTACCAGCGTTAACAAGACCTCAGATGTGTGTACCTGTATTTCTTCTGTTTGTGGTCATGAGGTTGCTTTTCTCTATGTGGTCTTCGTTCACCACACAGAGGGGAAGAGAATGGAAGAAAAAGCCACAAGCTTTTCTCTACAACTTGCATGAACGAAGTAAATTCGATTATAAATCCACTGTTTGTTTTTTTTAATGATCAGGAAAGGGAAATTTATCATCAAGGGAAATCTCAAGAGGTTTTCAGAAATAGAAGATATAAAGAACAATGAGCTGTGGAAAATGCCACATATCTGCATGTATTTGAACTCTGCCACTAGCAATTTTCATACTGCTACAAATGAGAAGTCAGGGCTGACTCAGACAGTTTCCTGGCCTTGCAGGGAATTCCCTGCAAGCTTAGATGCCACTTTTACAGTGGGTCTGAAACAAAGTAAGATTAGCACAGTGACATCTCCCAAAAGCCAAACCACAAACTCAGCAGCTCTTGATGGAGTGCAAATTGGGGCTAACAATGGATTTTAAACACACGGTTCAGGACCCTGTTTTATAAATGAGCAGGATATTACATTTGGGAATACAAGCTGGAAGAAAACTCTTAAGAAGCCTATAAGCACTAGAAACAAATGTTGAGCTATTTTTTAAAAACTGAATGCTAGCACTTTAAAAAAAAATGGAATAATTCTAATCAAGCAGTGGAAATTGATAGATTAATCCTGTATCAGAACTCACATGCCGTGTCATTTCCTTAAAAGTCAAAATTCCTAACTGAATTCACTATCTTCTCCCACAAGTCTGTTTTTTCTCTTTTCTCACTTTTCAGATTTTAAGCCACACCCAACTTTTATTGATTTGTCTCTTGCCTGCTTCCACCTGATCATTTGTAAAGTCCTCTTAATTCCAGGGATGAAACATGAAACAGTAGATTTCTCTCAGATTAGAACATTTTCAAATGAACTTCTGGTGACACAGAATTACTTTTTTTTTTTTTTTTCTTTCCTGGTACTGGAGTTTGACTCAGGGTCCTACACTTGCTAGGCAGGTGCTCTACCACTGGAGCCATGCCCCCAGCTCTAGAATTACCTATTATGGGGAGGAGGGTGACACGTAATTAAGACCAAAGACATATTAGATTGGAGCTTGTGAATTTTTCCCTTTATAAGTCAGGAAATGGTTAAATAGCAGTGATTTCAGAGGATTCAACTTATTTACTACTTCTAGGCTAACTACTATTTTACGCTGTTACCAAAGTATCTTTTAGGGAGAGCCAGTTACTTCTCGGTATGGTTATAAACTTTCACATTTTCTACAGATGCACATGGCTCTGATAATGCTCAGATTATGGAGCTAGGAGAAAGCTTGGGTTTTGGAGTCTTTGTGCTCTTTGAAAAACCCCCTTCTCTAAATGTCTGCTTTTTTATGGATTGATAGGAATTACCTCTGAAAAGCACCATGGCTCTACTGCCTTTCA